TATTACATCAGTTCTGTCAAGGATGGCGCTCGTTTTACACACAGTACCTTTGAATATAAATATTCGAGGGCAATTGTTATATTAACCGTGGGTATTGTTTTATACATATTTTGGTGTAGACTGATTGTAGTGTTATATTGTACTGTTTGACGGCACAAGTACTAACTTGGAGAAAACATCCTGGGGCGCCGACTGCTTGCCCTCCTTACGTTTCGTTGAGTACGACTATGGTGGCGGTGGGTAGGCCTGTTTACGTTTACGGGATTTGGCAATACTGACAGATTTTTTTCAGAATGCACTTTCATTTGTACTGTAAGTCGCATTGTTGTTATAATCATTATTTCTTTGATTCTTATGTCACAAATGTGTACATATATAAATGCATGCGCACATACATCAAGTCTCTACCTTCCACTTCCACGTCCACTAAACTTCCCCATTCCACTGTTCTGTCTTACGTTAATCTGTTTGCTTACTTTGTTTCTGAATCACAGCGGATATAGGATGGAGTCCTTCTAGCACTCAGTCCTGTATTTGTATTGGCTCAAGAATAGGATCGTAAAATGGCGACAAAAAGGGCAAGGTTACACAAATTGGTCATTAAAAGGTCGAGGCCGAAAATTATTCAAAATCACAAAATGACTTGCCGCACAGAAGTCACAAGGAGGGCAGGCTTATTAAAAGCCCACACATATGTGTGTATGTGTGAATATATATCTATATATGTATATATATATACATATACATACATATATATATATATATATACATATATATATAAATATGTATACATATATATTTATTAATTTATGTATATATGCATAGATGTATATATGTATATGTACATATATATATATATATATATATATATATATATATATATATATATACATTATATATACATTATATATACATACATAGCTACACACACACACACACACACACACACACACACACACAGATATATATATATATATATATATATATATATATATATATATATATATATATATGTATATATATATACATAAATACATAAATACATACATACACACACACACACACACACACCACACACACACACACACACACAACATATATATATATATATATATATACATATATATATATATATATATATATATATATATATATATAATATAATATATATATAATCATAAATGACACAATTAAAATATAACTGAAAACTGTCGGGTAAAACATCCATGCTGAATAAAGCGCAAGCATTTTCCTAACATAAAATCTGGCAGTCATTTACCCTCCTGCACCCAGCTTGTAAGACGTGTTTTGCTGTACCCTTATGCAAGCGTGTCCTGTGTTCTGTTTAAAATTTCCAAAGTCTTGTTACTGTTTATCCGAATGTTGTACAATTACGTAAGCGAGTTCTGTACTTCTTTGGTAAATTGTGTAAAGAGTGAAGTCTGGTATACACCTCAAATCAATGTTTTATGTACACTGGATTCGTGTCATATTCAAACACCTAAATGTAACCAAACACACACTGGAAAATAGACACGAAAAGGTCAAAGAGAGAGGAGGGCTTTCTTTCCCTTAGGCTTCTTATATAGAAATATACTATGGCGTCTGACCTTCAAGGAATCGAACGACTATTTAGCATTGTTTACTTTCATGTTAATGTTCGCTCATGGTCTACACCAAGGGGTGACTAGCGACTATGCGCAATGAAAACTAACTAAAAGCGAGGGAAAAAAACAAGGCCACCACATCATATAATGAGAAGAAACAAATATACAAATTCCAACTTTACTATAACGATAAGAAACAACAGGAAACCTGTAGTTCTGGCAACAGTACTACTAATTAAGAAGCAAATTGAGGTAGTTAATTTGATTACAATAGTGTCATACTAATAATGCCGTAATGATAAGATGTAATAGCGAAGATACTAATTACCATTGGTAGTGATATCATAATAAGGATAATGACAAACTACTACTGTTAGTAATAAAAATAATAGTTGTGAACATTATAATGATGATGACGATTTCGGTAATGATAATCATGCTGATGATATTAGTACTAATACTATTGATACTAATGCCGTTAATGATAATGGTGTTTGATAATGATAATTGTAGTAAAATTCTGTTGATAATGAGAATAGTGTTGATGATAATAACAGCGGCAATAATTATAATAAAAATAACAATAATGGTAATAATAATAATAACAATAATGATAATAATAATAATACAATAATGATAATGATGATAAACAATAATTCTAATGATGATAATGATAATGATGATAATATTATCATCAATAATGATAATAATAATAATAATAATCATAATAATAATGACAACAATGATAATAATAATACAATGATAGTGATACTAACAACAACAACATTAACAACAGTAACAGTAATAATAATATTCATTACAATAATGATGATGATCGTAATGATAATAATATCATTAGCACTAATGATGATAATGATAATGATGTTAATAATGATAGTAATCATTACAAAAACACAGTACTTATAAGAGCAATTGTAAAGATGATAATAATGATAAAAATGATAATGGTGATGATAAGTGTAATAATGACAATGACAATCATAACAATAGTAATAATAATAATACCGACAACAACAAGAGGGTGGTAATGATAATGGAAAAAAATAACAATAATGACAATGATGATGCCGATGATAATGATGATGATGAGAATAATAAAGATAATAATAATAATAATAACAACAATAATACTCATAACATCAATAACAAAAATGATAATGGTGATGATTCAGATGATTCAGATGATAACAATAATGATAATAATAATGATATGAATAATAAACAATAATAGTGATGATGATGATACTAATAATATTAACAATAATAATAATTATTACAATAATAAATTCTGCTTTTGCTTCTGATGATGATGATGATAAAGACAATAAAAATGAAAATGGAAACAATAATGATTTGAAATAATGATAATAATAATGATGATGATAACAATAATAATGACGATAATAATGATGATAACAATAATGATAATAATAATAATAATAATAATAATAATAATAATAATAATAATAATAATAATAATAATAATAATAACAACAAACAACAATAAGATTAACATTTATAGAAAGAATATTATAATGATGATATGATAGTGATAATAACAATGATAACAATAATAATAGTGCCACAATGGCACTGCTAAAACAATACTTACGATAATAATAGTTACAGTAATACTGTTTGTTGACAATGATAATGATAGTAACAATAATAATCATATTGAAAAAATAATGGTGAAGATGATGACAGTGATGATAGTGATGATAATGATAATAATAACAACAATAACAACAACAACAAAATAATAATAAAAAATATGAAGAATAAGAATATTCAGAAAACTTTCTACGTCTACTAAAACCTGATTCTCATACTAATGCTAAACGTCAATCCTGATACTAATACTAATGTAAAAAAGCTTTTGTTTCACCCACTGTCTCTCATAGTAATTCTCAATTAAAGAAAGAAATAGAATCTGAATCTCACAGAATGCAAAACGTATTTACCAAGAAATATGTATCTATTCGTTATCACAGAATCTGAGAAACGTTTTACGACCAAAAAAACGTTTCAAACCTGACCTTCTCTCTTCCTCTTGCGGCTTCAGGGAAATTCTTGGGGTCCGTTTCACCCACAGAGTTGAGGCCAGGCATTTCTTCTATCTGTTTGTCTGTCTGTTAGTCAATTCTATTTATTTAGCTATCTCTAAATACGTATGCATATATGAATAGGGATCCTAGCATATTTATATAAGATATATATATATATATATATACATATATACTATATATATATATATATATATATATATATATATATATATATGTATATATATGTATGTATATATATATTATATATATATATATAATTATATATATATATATAAATGTGTGTGTGTGTGTGTGTGTGTGTGTGTGTGTGTGTGGTGTGTGTGTGTGTGTGTGTGTGTGTGTGTGGATAATAACAACAATTATACTCATAATGTCAATAACAATAATGATAATAGTGATGATGATTCAAATGATGATGATAACAATAATAATAATAATGATATAAATAATAACAATAATAATGATGATGATAATGATGATGATAATAATAAATAATAATAATAATAACAATAACAATAATAATAACAATAATGATTCTGCATCTGTGTCTGATAATGATGATGATGGTAATAATGATAATAATAATAACAATAATAATAATAACAATAACAATAAAACAACTACAAAGCAACAACAACAATAATAATGATAACAACAATAACGATAATAATACCACGAATAGATCAAACAGAGAACATCAATAACAACCCCAACCAAGCCAGTCCCACTGGAGGGAATATCAGCAGTAACGTGAGTAATATTTTTATTAATACAACTATTATGGTCTGCGCATAGCTGCGTCGCACAGCGCCCTGGCACTCTCGTGGCCCTTACAGCACACATACAACAACACGAGGAATGTGGTTGATTTAGCCTTTTTCTGGGGTCGGCAAAGAGGGTTGGATTTTGCGAAGGGGCAAACCTGCATGAACTGCCAAGATCAGTGATAAAATATAACCTTGGTAGTTTTTTGTTGATAACAACTACATGCCAGCGAGCGGTGAAGAGGATGATGTAATGATGTGTTCCTATTTTGGCGGAAATAACTGTCGAAACGTACCATGAAACAAAACGTAGAGAGCGTGAAGTTGGTGAGTTGAGTAAAGATGTATTTGTCTGCATGTGTACGTAGAACGAATGTAGTTTTCTTTGTCCCGTTCTTAACCTCAAACATTTCCAACAGCGCGCGTTTGTACTTGTTCCTTCTACGTATGCGATGCGAGCGAAGCCTCAAGACAGGAGTAAGCCCGTGATTCACCTACTGAAGCACCACTACACGTGAATCATTCCGTTCATTACAAAA